ACCTGAGCTTCTACCAGTGATTATCATTGAAAACCATCCTTTAATTCATATCCATTGGTTTCTGGTCTCCAGGGATATCCCATTCATTTGTACCTGGGAGAGGCAGATGGTACCTATATGTAAAAATAATTTATCACATTCCAGCGACAACATTCCTTTACTTATACAAATGATCACTTCAAGTCACTCCTGACAAATACGTAAAAGGGTATGGATATAGATACCTTGATTGCAGTCATCAATATCAATAAGAAACATACTAGGATTTGATAAAGGGGTGCAGAAATTGAAACAAACGACTACTTTCTGCTTTTATTGAATTGCATTCTAAACCCCTTCCTTCAATTATTTACTACAGCCATACTGACATGGACATCGACATTCATATATATATCCATGGTGTCCTGGCATTAATCATGTCCTTATTCCCTTGCAAACACACAAGCACACATCTTGCAGTTATTTGCAAGGCAAATTCCTTAAATAAACTGTGTTTATAAATAAAAGAGGTTAACCTGTGAGTTTTGCCAGTCAGGCCCCAGAATACAAAGTACACAGCCGAGACTCCACAGTGAATAAAACATCATGTCAGTGTAATCAAAACGCCCCCAGTACTGGCACTTTTCCCAACATTTGCAATCCCGCTAAAGAATGGCTTGCATAAACAAAGTGAATAGAAGGTATACCATAATGTTTTTCAATTGTACTTCTCTTTCTGTTTTCCACAGTGATAATGACTTTAATATGCACCAATAACACATTTTGAGTGGTAAGATAATGATTTACTAGATAACTAGCAGTAACCATTATAATCTTGCTGACATCTTCCCCTCATCTGGTGTCCTGCTGTCATTACATGGATAAGTCCTCCCCACAAAATAGGGGGGACAACACACATCATTACATGTCAAACCATCTGTTACAAACTAGTGCCTCCTATGGTACGTCATGAAATTTCATGATGATCCCTGTTTTATAGGCAGCAGGCACTGCCTGGAATGGGTTAGATCGGTGTCATAAACCAGGCTTCCAAAGGTAGCGAGATACAAAAAAAGTTTTGGTAGAAAAATCAGGCATATGCAATACACAAAAATTTCAAACAAGGAGCATAAAAGAACATGTACTTCCAAATGTGTTTATACTTTGATGCATCTTTTCAAGTTAGTAGACACTCCAAGTAACAAAGAAAGCTACTGTTTACTACATAATAAATTACATGCATACACTGTACAATCTTTTTGTGAAAAGGTTATACGGTGTATCTTTTGATAAATAGCTATAATGACACAGGTAACAAGGCCGGCCAATAGGGATTTTAATAGTAGCAGAATCAGTTGTTACTTACTAGAAATGTGCATTCAAGGCTTTTTACAATAAAACATTTCTCTCAAGTTAGTATTAGTCAAATCCATCGTATTGCACCTTCTTAGTAAATAAATTTGAATGAAAAACAGCACTGCATAAGATTAGCTAACAAGCAGAATCCTTGCCACCAGAGCATTTAGATTTATGTGGTCTCTAAGGGCTTGCAAAACCCTACCATTTGAAGCCAAGTAATGAAGGGGGCCATTCCAATCTTCATGACTCATTCTACTTCATTTGGACTAACTGGTTACACATATATTGCCTATGCGTAAAAGAGGGAAGTGACTGAAACTGTTCACTGTAACAAGTGTTTGAAAACGTCAGTAGGTACTTAAGTATTCGACTTTAACTTTAAGACTATTGTAAGGAACGATTACCACATACTTTTGCAACAATTTGAATACTAAGTACAAAGTATGTGAACGGTGCCAACCTATCTTTGGATGCAGATACATGTATCAACAACCCATGATTTCCAGAAATCTGACTTCATTTGGCAAAACTCTATCCTCCCTTGAGTGAAGCCATTAAAACAGAATGTATCACCAGAGGCTAGTTGGACAACAACCATGTGTTTTATGACATCCTATCCCAGTGCCAATGGTGATGCTCGCATTCTTCTGGGACCACAAATCGCCCTGACTTGCCTGATTGCAGACAACTATTATAAACAACAAAGTATGGCACAGAAAAAAGTCAGCTTGCTGTATTAGATTGCTGTGAATGCTGTCCAAAACATAATCAGCCCTATCCCTGCTGTAATTGTCCAACAAATTTGAGCCCATAGCAGAGCTAAGTTTGGAACATTTTACAACATGTTTCACACATGTAAAACCAAAACTTTAACAGTAATAAATTTCTTGTCCACACATTAGACGTGCACCATGAGACACACAAACATACAACAGTACTGCATTGGTTTGATACTGCCTCTTATTAACGGGCAAGTTGTTGACTGATTCGTATTTATCATTCTGAGATATAATAAAAGTTCTTCAATAGTCAGCTTTATATGTTACTTCTTCATGGTTTATGTTTTTACCTACCTAGAGGGTCAGAGGCAATTAAGATGCTGCGAGAGATAATGCTGGCTTTATGACAACCATGAGCAAACATATGCCAGTCTGCACTTTTCAGCCCCTCCACCCACACCTGAATATTTTATAACCAATGTCACTGTGCCTGTGCTAATTCTCCATGGAGGATTGAGCCAGGCATCCATCACGCCACCCAATGGGCAGATAGCATGCAGTCTCTGTCATCTCTACAGGAAGGGATGAAGACATCAAAGGCCCACTTTAGACTGGGAATGGTTAACCTGTTTTGGGCCCAGGAAACGTTACCAGTCTTAAAGAGGAAAAAAATGGTACTGTAACGGTTTTCCATGACTCAAAATCACCTCCACCCTGGTTCTGCATGTGCAACTCTGCAACAGGGGCCCCAAAACACTTCCTGGTGCGTCCAAAGTTGAAACCATTTCATGAAACGGTAAGAGCAGGTCATGGAACATATGCTAATGATAGGCTAATAAGTTATGTTATGTTCAAGTTATATCTGGCGACACAGGTCTGTCTAAATCATTTAAATGAAAACCACTACCAGTGGCGAAGAGTTTCGAAGGGTTTTGGAATGGTGTACCATTCCCAGTCTAAAATGGGTCAGTAGACTAGTAAGAAACTATGAGACAGAAGTTTCCACTGCATTAGTTACTCAGTTGATCTGTGTCCCAAGACAAGCAAAGGACCACAGCAGGTATATTATTTTTTTTATATCTATATTTTACATTACTATCAAAAATTGTTACTTGCTTGTTTGTGTCTTGTGTCATAAAATGCCCCAAAGGTTGACCCATGACGCAAAACCATAGTTCAGAGGTCATGGGAAATTCAGACTGTTGCTCTGGGATTCCTTAGGCACCTCAATTAAGATGAAAATGTTTAATTTCCATGTCCTTTATAAGCATGACCATCTTCCACTTAAATGCAATCCTTTTTTATATATTACAATATAGAAAATAACCTGGGCAATCTTTCAGTTCCTACACTACAGATGGTAACACTTATCATCAGAGATGCCAACAGTACAGTTTTATGTCCAGTCTGTAGACACCAAACCATATGCAAACTGCCACTTCTCTTCATCAGTTTCCAATGCCAACAATGGTCCAAATTAGGAAACTGCTACATAGGGATTAATCTAGAGCTATAAACAACAACTCTCTCAAACAAGCAATGCAGACAGCAATCTTTGTTATGTCTTGCAAGGCAAGGCAAAGCACTGTTCTTTTGGCAATTATGATTGCCTTGTTTTTGCAGACTATTTGCTTCTTTAATCGTTTAATCTGATGAAGGGATTAGGTAAGAAGGTGTGTCTTTCTCTGGATAAATAGCTTGTTCTGTTACGCTACAATTGCTTCTGTCAACTGTTTTTGTGATACGAATCTTTTCTTTACCCTTGAAGTAAGTTTTGTTTTCTATTTCCACATCCCCATGATCCTTCCTGGTCTCCAATAATGATTAGCATCATTTGTTTGCAATAGATTAAGATAGTGTCAAATCGTCTTTACTTTCACACGAGTCTATTTGGAACAATACCTATTGAAGTCATTGTCACGTGTGTGCCAACTGTGAGGACTAATTGAATTGCCATCTTCTTTTGTTGTAGGTAGAGCAGACTGTACTACCTTTTTATAGGCAAATCACCCCACTAGAACAACAAAGGGACCAGGCTACATTGGTGGCTTCAGCTCCAAAAGCCTTTCAGAGTCAGAACCCACAACAGCTACAGTACAAAGGAGACCTGCTTGCTTTGGAAATTTTCACATTACATGCATTGTTGGTAGTCTTGTCTTGCTCTGTACATTATTTGATGATGGTCCATCTCACGACAGATCTTCATTATTCACAGCAAAATCATGCCCCTAACATGCCCTTGCTTAAATATATTGTCAGCATAATGGTGTAACATCAATGCCAAAACTCTGATCACGTATTCTTCTGATGCACTTCCACTTCAGTTCAACCAATACACATCTTTCTGGGTATACATAACCAATTTCTTCAGTCCTTATTGAATTTAGACAAAATTCACCTAGACAATGACAAAACTGTCCTTGTCTTAATGCATGACGTGAGGCACACAGTACTCAAAATGCCGGTCTGCATCGTGGACTACAAAAACAATCAATAATTGATCTCCTGGTATGACAGAGGGGAACGTCAGATTTTTCATGCATTGGATTGTGTACGGCTCTCGCAGCAGTATTAAATTTTGATTACGCTAGCAGAATAAGCACATCAATTTGAACAAGTGCCACAATTCTCCATTCTCTGGACATATCCTTGGTGAAAAACATCGTTTGCAGGAATCGATGAGAAATGCTAATCTAATGGGGGGCACGTATGAAGTCATTGCAAGGCATAATCCGGCACCGGCAATCTGCCTGGATTTCCGGCAAAGGTCAACCTTTTCTATCCGCCCGCAAATATTCCTGACTAGTCTGTATACAAATACAAGAAATAAAGTGAAATATTGAGTCATAGATTTTACGAACTAGCATAGTTTGGGTTGCGGTGACATCGTCTTAACCGAGGGGTCAAGTGACTGGTGTACCGGTAGCAATGAAAATATTTTACCTGGATGTTAACTGTATCGTCAGCAGGGAATTTGGAGATGGGTTTGGAGCCGGCCGCTGTTTCCGCGGCGTTCATGGGCCGAAACCGGCACACCACCTTGATGCTGCATTCCGACGGGTCCGTCATCGTGATTCAGGTCCCCGAATAATAGCCAATTTTCCCGGTCGAAGTCCGCAGTTTCTCTTCTCAAAACACCTTGACTGCAAACATGGCTGGCGCTGCCTAAAATCCGTCCTCTGCCATCCCGGCGTTTTTCGTCTGTCAGAATTTTCTCAGGGAAGGACAAATCTCTCTCAAACTTCACTCCTGTAGTCTTCACTCTCTTATCTTCAAAATAACCCTACTAAAATAAGAATATATATATTCGGGAGGACAAAAAATCTCCGTAGAAAATAAGTCGCACAAAACGTTCAATTACAGATCCGCCATTCTACCTATCTCCCGCAAGGCATTCTGGGTGGAGCCGGAAAAGATGACATCATCCTCCGGACAAGTCACGCGATTTTTCTCGAGATTATTAATTTTTCATTAAAAATTCTTACAGTTATGATCAAAACTTCACAGTTTCTTGTAATTTTCATAGCAGGATGGATTTTCTTGGAATGTCACCGTTCAGTTTACATAAGAAGTAGCCTAAGGGCTTTTACCGGCGTGACGTGACCTTTGCCCTCAAGGAGTTAGGCAAAATGGCGGACCCAAAGTATGCAGATCTACCCGGAATCGTGAGTATTTTACTGTTTGCGCCAATAAATAGACATATTGCGATATTTTAAGAAAACGGTAAATTGCAACATTGTTATTTCCTACGATTAATAACAGTTTTGCTGCTCTACAGAACGTTTTAAGCCTATGTATGGCGTAACTTAATTAGGTGGGGAGGGGCATCCGGAAATGTTGTCAGATCTGAGATATCACATAAAGTTACTAACATTCTTTCGTACAGAATGTACAGAATATATAGACGTTTTCTAGAATGTAGCATAGGAGCTACTTTTTTTATGCTTGGTATTGTTCTAAATATAATAGGGGTCATGAATGATTTGTGCTGTATTATGTTCAAGGAGGTTAAATCCCTTTTTAACCTCCTTGATTATGATGTACAGATTTAATGAAGATCTGAACCCAAGATTTTATAGTTTTTCTTTATTTGAAAAATAATGAATGTATGAAATAGAACTAAATTCTGATAGAAAGCTTTTTATTCATATCATACAATAGAATACAATATGATGGCTGTGAAAAATACAAGATGACACATCTATGAAATTTTGCTAACACTAAACCTAAGACATCCTTACAACTGGATATTATATAAGTGAGGCTCAGTCACCTGTATACTATTTAATTTTCAGACATACCATACATGCACATGCAGCTAGTGCTTGAACCTGTTAAAGCAACAGTCACAAATGTTGCTGCCAATTCAAATTATGTTGCTGTATTTGTTTACATCATATACATGCAAATTATTTGAAGACATATGCAAATTATTGGTTCGTAAACCAGCCAATTGTCACCCGCTTTTTTCCTAACTCTTGCTGGCTGTGACAGATTGGAGATCACTCATATGTTATGTCAATTTGTGTGTCTCTCTCTCTTTATAGAACTATTACTACTAAAATACCAGGGCGATGGTTTACAAACCGTATGATTTCAATCAGTGTTCTAGGCAGCCTGAAATTTTTTTCGTCATCTCAATTTTGTTTGACACAACATCCTATGGGGTCCAGGGGGAGTGCTCTCCCACGAGATCTAGAGTTTTGAAATCTTGACCCTCTGAAATGCTACTTCCTGCATTTTGGCAAGCTCATTTTGAGAGACAAATTTTGCTGGTAGACTAAGCTAAGTTGATGACATCTCTTACGATATCTTTACAATTACATGCCAATTTTTGTCCATCAAAGATGATGGATTGGACAAAATTTTTGTACATCATGAGTGGCAAAACTGAAGTCTAAAGATGTGTCATTCCCTAAGCTGTTAGACATTACTCAACTACATTCACACATTAAAATGCCATGTATGTATCTGAAGTGGGTTTTTTTTTGTCACCTGTAGGACTACCAGCCTGATGTGTATGAGACCAGTGACCTTCCTGAAGATGACCAGGCAGCATATGTTGTGGTAAGTATTATATAGATGGTCAGGGTCCTCACCAGAATTTTTTCACAGTGTAGGGGTCAAGCAAAGACAGACAACTTTCTTCACCATATAGCAATACACAAAGACAATATATCAATACACAATAGCAATACACATTGTATCAATACACATATAGCATTATAGCAATTTTACACAAAGACATGACCAGACCAGTAAGTTCTTTCTAGAAAAAAATCAAAACTCAAAACCCTCCAAGACACTGCTTTTTAAGGGCCAAAATTTTGTCATATTTTCTTAGTTATACTTATAGCTTCATTCTAAAGTCAAATTCTAATGTTTAAAAGAGTTATAAAGGGTCACAGAAAGGTAAGGTATCATGTACTGCTTCATACTCTCCATTGATTTATACTTCTCTAGACGTTGATGTTTTCAACCACTGGTCCTGTGTAGTTCTTATCATAGAGATCAAAGAGGACATTTTCTATACAAGTGTGTTGACCAAATAACGTAATTCAAGCCATGGCATGTACATGTTTGTAGTCATGCAGTAATATGGCAATATTGATGTTAATATGTGTTATGTTAAGTTCCCTAAATGTATTGGTGTTTATATGTAGTACTGTTAAGTTCCTAAAATGTACATAATTTACTGTTTTTATAAAAGTATCTGTCATGTTATTGATGCTCTTTTCAGGACAATCAATTTTGATGTTCATATCATAGTTTATAAACCTATTTTATCAAAGAGAGCTGCTATCTTGTCACTCTGACGAAGCTGATTTATGAACTATCAAATTGATTACTCAACTTCGTGTCCAATTTTCTAGTTTTACATCATCATATATGATCCTGACTTGATGTATTAATTTTTTTGACACCTATTAAACAATTCGTCATATCAAAGTACAACATGTACTCAAAGCTAGGCTTGAATACTGATGTGACAAATGCAATGACATATGCCTATTGCTAAGATTTTAATCATATTCAGATGCTTATAATTAGACAAGAAATCCTTGTCAGGCATTTCATTATAGAATATCATCAATCAAGTCTGTATTCATAATTGCATCATTGTTGATATTACAGGGCTTTTAATGAGTCAAAAATGCTCCAGAGAATACATTGGAAGGTAGACCAGGGTGCGAAATACTGTACCCACACAAAGCTTGCAGTTTGCATGTGATTTTCAAGATATATTTAAATGCATAAAAAATATATTCTGAAAATACAATTTTGCATGTTGAACCTATGTATGACAGGAATAGTGGCACTGCTATGTTGCTGTCATACTCATTTTGAAATGCCCTGGTGTTTCTTTCCTATTTTCCCTGACGATTTTTCTCAAGTCTATCAAAATTTGTCACTACTACATGTAAAAACTTCCCTGTATCATAAGAACGTGGTGTTGGAGATTTTCTTATGTATCTTCACTGCTGCATAGCTAACGAAGACGGAAGGCTGAGTTAGCCTCAATTTTGCATGTAGATTTACTGAATTGCATGTAAATTTTCTGCCAACATTGAGTTTGCATGTAAGAGATAAAAAGGATGTCAAGCCCTGCTGTATACACTTTAGTGGCCACCAATTTTTGTCTTGCTCTTTGTTATTCTGAGCAGCACATGCACAAATGCCTGTAGGCTGGAGGCAATATGGAGTTATGGTTGATCTCTCGCGGACCCCATTCAGAAAATGACTCTATTGATATACTAGCTGGGAGAGATGTCCGACCTGACACAGTTACATATCATGCACTGCTACCAGTATTGGTAATAGGCAGTGTTTGTTTTTAACAGAATGGCGCAATAAGGGCCAGAAAATGTGTGACTATCTTTTTATCTTGCATTTCCTATATCCACACCTTATTCTTTGAACAAGAATGGTCTCATAGTCATATTGAACATAGAGTTTTACGTTTATAATTATATGAATTGTTGGAGAGCCAAAGGAATTATGGTATGCATTTCTAAAATTACGGTAGGATTTCTAAAATTAACACAACATTGTACTACAGAGCTGTTTTCATATCTGATAAAACATTGTACATTGAAATAAAAAGTAAGACAAGTTAAAAACTGATACAAAGACCCTGAGGTAAAAATCTTGAAAGTCTCTAGTGATAATTTCACAGAAATGCTGTCTTTTCAGTTTCCCAGACTGGGACATTTTTCCCAGGCCCGTCCCCTACATCTAATGGCTGTCAAATTAATATTTGATGCTGGTTCCAGCCGGCTTAGTGGAGCCTGTAGGGACATTTTTGCGCTGAGATTGGCGAGTTATTTCCATTGCATACAATTACCCATAACTCTAACAGGACCTATTCCATAAGGTGTAGTCAATTGCAATAGACTTATTCTGTCTATTCTGAAATGCATTTCTTTTTTCTATTTCTAGTTTTGTGCCAAACCTACATGTAATTGTGGCTATTGGGTAAATGAGAGGCATAACTGATTCATTGAAGAAATTTGCCAAAAAAAGTAAAGTCTTTTGTGCCTTTCACTATAGCATTGTACCATTACGAATCAATAATGCATGCTGTCTTGATACAGAAAATATTCAATTAATAACAACTTAAATTATCATAATCCTTTGACTCAGCTTTGTTTCAATTACTAATAAACTTTTATACTATCAGGTCACACCAATTTGATTTGTTGGTTCTCAGATTTTTTCAGAAAAAATGTTAACTATTGGGGCGAAAAAAATAAAAACAGACCTCAAATTCAAACAATTTTAAATTTTTATCAGGAAAAGAAAGTTTTGCTGAAATACTGCTCTTGTGGTGAAAGATTTTGACTGATCACAACTTCTGGAACCATAAATATGACCAGTGTGACGTACATCCTGCATGCGTCATTAATAAAACAGTGGGGAAGTAGACAGTCACATAAAGTTCACATGGAATGGATGATTGAAATTTTACTGGATGACCCAATCTGGCCTGGTTGAAGGCAATTCCTGGAATTTAATGGTGCTACACAGGGCGTGCTTATATTCCATCCATACATTTATCTGCAGAATTTCTGACACAAGTCTTGTGTTTTTATGTGATGCGATCTAAGTGTTCTAGCCAGCATCCGTGTTTCCGTCATTTGACGGAATTTTGATGCCCTTGACGGACCAAAATTTTGACCAATCTGTCATCTTTGACAGAGAAAAATTTAAAGATGTGGAAAGAGATGTCATTAAACTAAGAGAAAAATTTAAAGATGTGGAAAGAGATGTCATTAAACTAAGCTTAGTCAAGCAGCAAAATTTGCCCCTCAAAGTGCATGGAAATACCTGGTAGCATTTCAGAAGATCATGATTTCAAAATCTTAGGATTGTCATGCCCAAGCTCAACATATTATTACATCAAAGAAAATTGAGATGACAGAAAAAATTTCAGGCTGGCAAACAGTCTGGATGTGATTTTGAATATAACAAAAATCTAAACAAGAACACAGTTTCAATGAAATGTGTATAAAATCTACCTAAAACTGTCACTTAAAATTCATTAGATGCATATGTGTGTGCATCCTTTACAATGGATACTGAAACATTACAACGATCATCAAGGAAGACATGTCAAATTCCATGAAAAGTACCATGAAAGAAATTTCAGAAAGAGGTCATTTTGGCAGTGATCCTAGAAAGCTTCCCACTTACATGCAGGATCATATCTGACTCTCAGAGAAGTGATGTCAGGTTATGATAAATGAATTCCAGTTTATCTTTTGAACGGGCTCCTTTCAAGAGGAAACGACACCCATAGAGCTTGAAAATAATGCGCTCGACGTAACAAATTGTAGTAGGATTAGACTGTGGGACATCGATTGTACCCATGCGTGCATTTCCGTTTTGATGTAAATTTCGGCATCTGGCATTGATTTCTGACCCTTGCATGCCGTTATGTGAGCGCGATACGGCCGTGCCGTGTTCGGACATCCGTCGCTCGATGGATCAATACCGCCGCAGCCAGACTGTCTACTAAAACAAAACAGCTCGGGTCATGTGACACCATTGATGTCACTGGATCTGTATGCAGAGGGGGTGAGTGGGTGGGGCATGGAGGGGGAGGATCATTGTTCTACTGAAGGGTTACAGAGAATTCTGGCTGTCAATCATCATTAACAGTCTGACCAATCAGAACAAGGCTGCACGAAATTTGCTTATTTTTTTGTGTGCCCATTTTTGTATGTTTCTGTTTTGCATTTTCGTTTTGTATTTTCTATCGAACACAAGGTACGCTAGCTATATATATAGCCTGGTATGCTGCCTTTTTCACTTTTGTCAAATGAACACTCCCCTTGGGTAAAAAGTTGTAAATTTTACTGATCTTGGTCATTGTGACAACCACACCCAATATAGACCATTCCATTCCAAAAAGGGATTTATTTAGTTTAGGGGAAATAAAATCAAATAGTAATCATCAGTAATATTTTATTAATTAAATGATTGGCTTTAGCCAGAAAATTGACTTTGAAAATCCAGTTTTGCAACCCTTAAATTGCATTGGATGCCTTTAAATGCTACAGCTACATGGCCCCTGTCCTTGGTGCTGATTTGCATTCACATGAAGTTCTTTACTCCTTATTCAAAACATGCCAGCCTACAAACCCAGTAGAATAGTCTTTGGACAAAAATCTGTATCGGATTAAAAAGAAAATGAAGAAAATCAAGATTTTTGTCAAATATGATTTTGCAAACCTTTGGATACAAAGACTTTATTGTAATTAATCAGTTAACTGGTATGCTCTGTCAGAACTTAAAATACAATGTACCGGGTACATATGCACCTTAGTGCAGATAAATTTGGGACTGTGCAGGTTTTCTGATGTCTACCTGCACCTAACCTGCACTGGTCCATGTACTGGGTTTATATACAAGTGTAGGTGTATGTTAATTTCTATTTGCTGCATTGACTGTTACCATCTATTAAATCTAAAAGAAATAATGTCAAAGGTTTCTAAACAGATTTTAGTGTGATCCATACTTCGTAAATTCTGAGTGGTGCAGGTAAAATTTGTCTGGTGCAGGTAATTTTCAACGTTATCTGTACCAGTGTAGGTAACAAGAAAAAAGTATTTCAAGCCCTGACTGTGCATGATATGCATGGACAGCACAGCCCTTTTGGAAGGTACAACGGTGGCTACATTATTAGAATTGCAATGATATGATCAACCCCAACCAGCGTTCCCAGAGAAGTGTCAGACATACTGGCGCCAGCAGTCATTGCTTACGGCACAAAGTGTCAAAAAAATTACTGGCATCAAAGCCAAGATTCTATCAGGTAGGACGGAGTTGATTACTTGTTATTATGTAAAGAAGGCTTTGAAATGTTAAAGGCAATTGCTTTCCATTACAGGATGTCTACATCAGCTGTCATCTGGATGTGGGAAGGGTAATCTATCAGGCCCAGGAAAAAAATTTGCGTTTTCGGTTTTCTGACTCTAGCAAACACCCACTGATCCTAGTCTTTTTTTAATTTCTTCTTACTTGATATATCATTTTAGCCAAAATTTGTAATAAAATTTTTTTTTAAAGAAGAAAATTCCTCCTTTTTGGCGGCCTAAAAACCAGAAACATATTAGTTTTCCTAGGCTTCATTGGAAATGTACTTCTTGTGCTGGTTTGTTAAAATATTTTTAAACAAAAAGGACTGAGTGTTTGATTTTGAACTCCTAATCTCCTAAAAAATTGGACTGCAAATAAAAATAAGCTGTTATCAGTACTGTAAGAACAATTTTTAACAATGCACAGTAACAATATAGTATACAAGAAAGTGTTTGTGCTTTAAACATTTAGTTCCACTGCTGCTAGCATGCTGACTTATAGTTAGAGCTCAAAGTCATTATTTGGTAAAGGAAAAGAAACTCCACATAAACCAACATGCATATATAAACCCAGCACATGGACCGGTGCAGGTTAGGTACAGGCAGACATCAGAAATACATGCACAGATCCAATTTTACCTGCACTAACCTGCATATGCAGGTGGTATTTCAAGACCTTGCATTTGTACATGTACTTCTTTGGTGATAGCAAATAAGGTTTCAGTTGAAATAAGGTTTGTACCCGCATATATTATGTGTACAATGGTGACAAAAGATGTTTTAATTTTAACCCTTTAAGTACCAACATTGACAATTGACCCATTGCAGGTTAAGGGTTAAACCTGTATGTGTATCTAATTAACTTTTATCACCAATTTCAATTCAATTTTTGTTGATGCCATGTCGCCACACTTTTATTACAGATGAAGTTTAGATCATGCCTGGTGATGTCCTGTCCAATTCCCAGTGTTCTACTGCAGTCCTTTTAATGTATGGATGAAATTTTACTCCTGGTGCCAGTTAATGGCCTGCAGTAATGGCTGGTGGCATCCACACGTGACCGACCCAGTTCTGCTAAGGAGAACTAAATGGACTTTGTTTCATCATATTTGTACTGCCAATAGCAATTTTTGGACCATGTCACTAGTGTCAAACTACCTGTAATATTAAAGTCTTAGGCCCTGAAAGAAAATGCTTTCTATAGGTATGAGCTTAGTGTAACTTCAAATACTATCCATACATTAATGTACAAATTATGATCTTAGAAGGAGAACTTTACTGCACAACAATTATAACAGGTATAGCACATGGCAACATGTGTTATATGATGCAACCAACCATCCATGCCCTTTGTTACCTACATAAAAATGTACGGATTGTTTTTCGTCTGTCTGTGTGTGTGTCTGTGTTTGTGTCTGTGTTTCCTTAGCTTGTGGTTAGAATAACTTAGGCCTTTATGAATTGTGATGATATTTGGTATGTGGGTAGATCTTAGGCAAAATTCAAGGTCAAATTTGGGCTTCCTGGTCGCTGCCCTTGATACTGCAGCAGAACTTTTGTTTCTTTTCATGCTGGGCATTACTATGGTCTTGGAGATGAATTGTTACCCTATTATATATAATAACACAAATGTGTTCCACATTTTCCCAGGAGGAACTGAACAGTGACTCTGTGAGCAGCCTACCTGTCAACCCTAACTCTTCCTACGAGAAGTTCAAAGGAAAAGTCGTCTCCTCCAAAGGACTTGGTAAGTAATTGCTTCAGTTCTCACTCACTCTGTCTGTGTGTGTACCAGTAAATTCAGTACAATTAAAGATCTCCACATCCATACATAAGAATTAGGTATCTGAATTACTGAAATGTAATTGAATTCCTGTAATGTCCATGCAGTATGTACATTAATGTGTTAACTTTAAGATAAAAGGGATTGAATGTGAATCAGAAAAGACCAATAATGTTACACACTATATTTTTCTAGTCTTATTCACAAATTAATACTTGTATACTGTATCATGAAATGTTTGGTGCTGGTATAATGAATCAAATGTATTTCTCTGAGTAATGTGTTTTTTACATGGACAAGTGAGTAATTCTGATAAATCACCATGACATCTACATTTACATGCACAGTGCCTCTCTAGTATTCTCCCTGGGTACTTCCTAGCGGATGTTTCTTAGACCTAGCTGTCAATTTGTGCCACATTTTTGTCAAACATCAGACATCTATGTTGGGAATCTTTTGTTACATGCCTGGCCAGTGATGAACTTGATATGATAATGAATTTAGAACACATTAGCAATATTCTAAAAACATTTCCCTAGGCCCTTGGAACTAAAGGCTCCTCCAAATATTGCTAAGGTTGTAAGAGGTACAATTGATTTAGGCTTTAAAGAGTAAAACAAAAGAAAGCATAAATTTCTGTACTGCTTGAGAATCCTCTGTATATATACATGTTGGTCTTACACATTATAAGTTGAAAAATTCCTATAATTTACATTCAATTGGTACTTCATGAAACATTTTCATATTATCCTCATTTTAGGGACTTTGAATGCAGACAATTTAAATGTTATTTCATACCCGCAGTGGTACAAAAACTAAATTATTCTGTCCTGAAAACTAGTCAGTCTTATCCAATTATTCCTTCATTTTGTTGTGCATTGCTGTCAAGACTGGTAACAAAATCTCTCCCTCTGAGCTCTCAAGTTGCCTCCACAGATGAAGAGGAATTGAGAAGCACTTGGTATTCAGTGGAACATGCAAATAGTAATTGGATTTCTCAGTAACTATCCTTTATATCCTGACCACACATACTTAGAGTGAACTCAAATTATATTGATTTTCCTTGTGATTCCCATTGGACATACAAATATTCCCACTCATGTTACATTGTGTAGAATATCTCTGCCTAATGTCTTTCTGTATTTTTCATGGACTTGATTGAACTAAAGCCAATACACAACTTCAAATGTTGACAATTAGTATTGAAATACTGTAGATTTTTACTGTAGATTTTTTTGCGGTACTTTTATATTCGCAGCTTTCTGCTAATCATTATATATATGGTCAGACAGGAGTCTAAATCTCTTGTGCTATAGAATTGCAACATGATGTAACCCAACACTAGTTACCATGGTGACAGATGTCTGGTTCAGGTCATTGACCTTATTGGTTTGGAGAAGAAGATGAAGAGGAATCAGAGCAAAAACAATATGTTTTCCTTCGGTAACCCAAACATCTGCTTGGAGATTAGCTGCAAGTTTCCTTTACTGATTCTGCAGCGTGTACAAATATGTTTAATGTCATCGTCACACTTTGTCAATTGCAAGTTGCACACTGATATCCACTTGTAAAAAGGGTCAGCCAGCCAATTCACTTCATCAGAAGGAGCCGTGCCAACACGTTATGGGATATTGATTATTTTTTGGAACACAAGAAAGACGGCTTTTTATAGCTGTAAGGCCACACCAGTTTAATTTGTTGGTTCTTGTTAATTTTTTTTTTTTCAGAAAAGATATGGAGTGACAGGGCAGAATTGAAGAAAATAAAAACAGGCCTGGGCATCCTATGATAGTCCCATGCAAATGCTATTATAGGAGCCATGAAGTCAACGTACTGGGCTGATTTATGATTCAAACAATGAATTTTGAACTTTTAATCAAACCACTGCATAGATGGATGGAAAAAGTGTAACAACTATAGAAGAGAATTTTTTAAATAACAATGTTTGGTGATGATACTCATTATTCCACCAAAAGAGAATACATGTACACATAAAATGTAAGGAAAGTTGCAACCTCAACATTTTAAGCTAAAAGGTCTGTAAAGCTTTGAAAGCAATTTACTTGAATCTTAATTGTAGCTGAAATCATACATATCCTTAATTTATATCCGGGAGGCATGGGAAGAAAAGTGCTCATGCAATTTGAATACAAATCAAATATACATGTATGCACAATTAGTCATGCAACATCACTTCTAGTTCTAGATTTCAATCTTCTAAGTGCTCGCAATTTGACAATTTATTAAACCTATAGTCCTCAGATTTTATATATCTGTAACTTGTAGTATTGAGAAAAACACTCTGCAAAGCTACATTTGAAATGAAGGGAATTCTTTTTCTTCTGGAAGGGAATTTTTTTCTTTTCTTTTCTTTTCTAGTTTGTTTTTTCTGAAAGGGAAAAGGAAGACATCTCAATCCTGTGAACTGGTTCATAACAGAAGTAATTAGATTGAGTCACAGTGATTAAGATGACTCCATTTAATAATGGAACCTTTTCGTGCACAATGAGGGTCCCTTGAGTCTTGGTGTGATCAGTACAACATGTGAACCATCCTGGCAGAACCTAAATGTTATGCAAAGATCTGACATTTACATGTCAACCTTTTCTATCGTGGTGAAAAGACGAAAGTAGATGAGACAATTGGACGGTGCCACAATCAGTGACCCCGTTCATACCAGACTTTTAAAAACCTTAAATGAAACCGCTAAATAATTACTAAAATTAGCATGGGGAAACCCGGCTAAAACCTCGTTCAAGCGTTTATACCCGACTTTACATAACCGGTTTTGTAAAAAAAATCCTGTTCAGTGAATATCTGGTTAATTGGCCATGATTGCAGTTTGCATGAAAACTGTTCCTCCCGCTCTTGCGATTGTTGTCCTTGGCCTTCTTGTATGCCATCTTCTTTGAAAAGAGCAGCTACATGTAGTGCTCAGCATTAAGCTTGCTGCCAGCAGCCTGGCTACCTTTGCTCAAATTTATGTACATGTTTTACATTTCTAAGGCTTTGGAATCATTCTTCTTAATCAAGCATATCAAGAGTCAGCAGTCTTGCATTATTTTCCATTGAATAAATGCATTGATTCAGAAGCTAATTTTTGGCAAATGAAAGATTTTTGTAGGAGACAGCGCTTTTCAAAAATGCAAAGCTATCCAAAAAGGCATGCTCAAAACCCTAACGAAAGGGATCAGCAGTTCTCAGTGTATAAAATGGCAGGCTAAACAACATGATCACTGGACAATATGCATGGACATGGTTAGATTGTAAAGGAGACAGCCTCACACCACTGAAGCCCAGAGAGAGGTACTAGAGTCATTTTAAAGTGACCTGATGTTGGAGTTTAACAACTCTGTGGCAAATTGAGGTTGCCACAGGTCAATAGACTCTTGTTGCCCAAGGAGGAAGGATATCGAATGGATAGAAGAAACATACCAGAGGCGTGTACTGTAAATTACTTTATGTTCACGTCAGCAATAGTTCATGGTCTGAGAAAAATGGACATGTTCACGGAACTTTACATTCGCAATTTCCATGATCATTTTGGGGTTGAGAGTCGTTTTCAGTGTCCCTATAGGATATTTTCTTATTTTTGGTCGGATTGGTTTAGAAATTTTTCTGTCCCACCCTAGCTTGGTTTGCAGGGTATGTGTCATGGACAAATTAAAAGACCCCTAATATGATATCAGAGTGAAAGAAAAACCACATTCAAGTCTTGCTTATTTTGCAGCTACTATATGAGAACACATATGGTAATGGATATGGTTTTCATTGACTTTTTTTATAACAGCAATCTGTTCTCTACTGTGTGACAGTATTGGGACCATGCATGTTTTTTTCTTTGTTTTTGAATCATATGATAGAACAAAATCACATCCATGAAATCATGTCTGCGTTGCCTATAGCTACAAGCCATTCTGCCCAGCTTACTACTTTGCTTCACAAAATTGCATTTTCTTATCTACAGGTACGTTCACAGGCCCCCGGTATGAATGAAAGCATTCCTAGAGCCAGTATAATGATGAAAGGATGTACAACATCCAAGGTCATTTGGTGTAATTCCCACTGTAAGCCTTCAAGTGCATCAGTGTACGGCACAAGTGCATAGATGTACATGAGATCGGTGGGCGAATGACGTTTTTACGCATTCTGAAATCCTTGGAGAGCTGTAAGATGGATTGGTATGGAGTCCTGGAGGGGGAGGGTTGAAAGTGGCAGTTTTTGAGAGTCTCAGAGGATTTACAATCCAGATAGAGATAATTTATCTTACTATAAAGTTTTTCAAGCATCCTCTTGTGCCCCTTTCCATCCTTGGTACATAGTATATCGTCATATCATTTTCAGTCCTTGAAACACATAACCATGTACATCAATTTTTTCAGCAACTTTCTAATACAGGGGTATCTGTACATGTTGTTTCTTCTTTGCTGAAAAGACTATGACTTAAATTGGTTAAAATCACTAGAAAGTACATGTACCAGACAAATTTTACCTGCTCTCGCACAGAAAACATGGCTGCGAGTGTGAGAGTGTGGGTACAGTCAGCCATTAAATGGATACGCAGCTACCTTGGTAACAGGAAACAAGCTGTGTTTGTAAATCATACTAAATGGCAGCTTTTCATCTTACAGAGAAACCAAGTGTGGTGTACCGCAGTGCAACTGCCTTGGACCATTACTATTTTCCATATTTGCAAACGACCTTCCCACAATAACAAAGCACAGTACAGTAGTCATGTATGTATAAACATTTAACATGTATTTGGAACCCTGTGTAGCTAGTCTGCTGTATTTGTAGCACTACTCCTGCTCCCTTTCACACTACTAATGAGACAGAGACAGGGATTAAGTGGATCGGCATCAATCTTCATTAATCCTCACAACTCATCAGTCCTTAATCCCTCTTCACTGCAATCCACTCCATGTCTTCTACAAGAAAGGTGATGAGTTTATGTGTCACCCTGT